TGTTATAGAGTAGGATATACTGTTAGTACTTTAAGTTATCTTACTGTTATAGAGTGGGATAGACTGTTGGTACTTTAGGTTATCTTACTGTTATAGAATGTGATGGACTGTTGGTACAGCGATTTGGTTTTTGTCGGTGTATAGAATAATCTGGTGATGAGTGACGTAACTTTCTTTTAATGTACATCTGATTATCACATTTTGTTTAAATGAATATTTCTCTACAACTAACCTGTAGTGAATGTTGTAAGCAAATCTTCATACCGATATACGAGTTTTGTACCTTGCGAAATTATTACAGCTGTAATATCATACTACATAATATAAATAACAATAATTACATGATGAGAACGTTACAGATATAATATACTAAAAATATTAATGTCAATAATTATGCGATTCAAGGTTTTCTAAGGATTAATAATCTCTGAATATTCGTCCGAATCTGTTTTAACATTTGATCACTTAAATTTTAGACTTGTTTGAACGCACCATATCCATCTTTGGACGAGTGGACATTTTGGTGAATAACGCTGGGATTGGAGGAGAAAACAATTGGAGAAAGGTCGTTGAAGTGGACCTGGTCAGTAACGGTTTAATTGATTGTATTGTGGAAAGGAGTGTTTAGTACTGTGTGTTAAATTATTGTTATGAGACCGTATGTGTTAGTTTATAATTAATAAATAATTCCGACTGGTTACCTATTATTAGTTGTAATAAACTAAACGTGCGGTGAGTAATATATTACATTTATTCCCAAAGCTAGTAACAATCAAACCACATAATGTCGTGTACTCATTTCCTATTTTTCTATACTAATGATAATCGGTGCTGGTTCTTTTCCTCTTTAACAATGACCCAACATGCTCATAACGAGTTGTTCTTGTTTTGTTTTTATATAAAGTAACGACCATATTGTTATAGAATGTTTTCATTGGTTATCTATGAACACATGCACATAACCATATGCTGGTTTATACTGGTTACATTTATATATTATACTAGTTTTATTTCGTCTATAATAACCTGGTTATTAAAAACTTCTTTATTAGTAATTGCTTTTCTGTCATATTATTCGAGTGTAACACACTACAGGGTTTGAGTGTGTTATATTAAAACGATCTTGCAGCCTCGTCACACGTTACAGTTTGTATTATCATGTTTGGTCATGTTCCGTCTAACAACCGTGCACATTACCAACAGATCTGCAGCGTAGTTTTTACTGAAAAAGGTTTCGTCGTAAGGCTGTCATGTCAAAAGCATACCACTACTCCCGGTTTTCTAGCACCCGTTTCAAAAGTTTGAGCACAAAGAAATCCGTAGGCGACTTGACCGGTATGTCTTCTTACGGAAGAGCATGAATACTCCTTGTGGTACACAACAATTGAATGGATATGTTGTGGAGACAATTTGCGTACACGTGACTCATGTCGCTTTTTATCATGGAAATCTGTCTTGATTATGTTGCGTTCTGTTTCCTGGAGCACAAAGACGTCTTTAGCAACAGTCCTTTGTTGTTGTTTTTATTCTCACCTGTTACAAGACGCTGGACTTTGTTTATCACGGCTGGGGAACGACTTGTTGCAGGTCTCTCTTCGGATGGTCCTGTTACCCCAAGTTGATCTATATATTGCTTTGTTTTCCAATGCTTTGATTTTATATAGACTGTGGTTGTAACTCGACTTGCTGATTTGCATATTCAAAATTCATTAATATAACACACTCCGCCCTCTGTAGATGCATAACATAATCCAAATTATGTTTTCGAAACAATGACTAAAATCGCCTGTATCAACGACATGTACTTTTTATATTTATAGACTGAAAATTAATTCTTACTGATGCATTCTGAAATATTTTATTTACTGTTTCTTTACAGATGGGTGTTATCTCTGGTACAAAACTGGCCTTTAAGTTTATGGGAACAGAGAATGGAGGAGTTGGTGGCGCTGTGGTCAATATAGCCTCAACAGCAGGTCAGATAATCACATATGCCCATATCAACATAGAAAATTCTCCAATAAACGAAACCGAAACTATAAACAATACAACACATATTTCTTTATGATGAAGCTGTATCTGAATTATCGTTAAATCAACTAACATTTATAATGTTTAAAGTGTTTACTATTGTTATTAATACTCATATGACCAACAGTTATTGTTCACGAAAGTTGCTAAAACCATTAGTTAACAAACTTGAAACTTGTGTATATTTAAAAGGAGTAATATTTTGATAAGTTAATTATCTACATAAAAGTATTTGAACTTAAATATTAATATATATTTGTTTAGCATACAGTGTTGGAAATATTGAGGAAACGGTGATAGAAAAGGGTATAAAAACAATTACTTCTTTAACGTGTAAATAAACTGCACCAAAGCACAGTTAAATGTTGATAGTTTAATTGATTTGTTATCACCCAAACAATCAGAAAGTGCCACACCAGTATAAACCCAATAAAAGTACGGAACTAAAACACCACAAGGTCGAGGTAACAACGGACTAAAATACCACAAGTTCGAGGTAACAACGAGACTAAAATACCACAAGGTCGAGGTAACAACGGAACTAAAATACCACAAGGTCGAGGTAACAACGGACTAAAATACCACAAGTTCGAGGTAACAACGGAACTAAAATACCACAAAGTCGAGGTAACAACGGGACTAAAATACCACAAGGTCGAGGTTACTACGGGATTAAAATACCACAAGTTCGAGGTAACAACGGGACTAAAACACCACAAGGTCGAGGTAACAAAGGACTAAAATACCACAAGTTCGAGGTAACAACGAGACTAAAATACCACAAGGTCGAGGTAACAACGGAACTAAAATACCACAAGGTACGAGGTAACAACGGACT